TATTTCATATTCTGATAAATGAAATAAAATGTATATACAAATTACAAATGCAAACACAAAACTTAAATATGCTCTCTGTGTGACAAAAGGCTAATTCTTTCACATCAGAGTGGCCTAAAGATATACACACACAACAGTATACATTTCTAATCAGGCAGCATTTTCAAAGAGGCAAACCTGTGAAATTATACTCATAGCTATTACTTACACAAGCAGTAAATGGAACTAAATGGAAAGCCAGAAAGATATGATGCTCAGAGTTAAGGGGATTAAACAGTTAGCAGTTACTGAATATTAAATTGTATCACTGCCTTCAGGGCAGGGAACAGAGGATCTAATTTTTCACATGAAGAGCAACATTATTGTACCACTTTTTAAAGGAGAGTGGTAAAAAAATCCTGTTCCTATTTGTAAAAAGGCAAAATAATAATTTTTTACAATACTTCTTTTAAATATATCCCCCATCCCACCACTTTAAGTTCTAGTACCGTGATTCTAAAGAGTTTAATTGAAGAGATTTGGCAGGGTTTTTTTATATTTAACAAAGACACCCTTTGATTCAAGAGTTCATTAGTCAGTGGAATTAAAAAAAGTACCAAGAGACAAAAAACAAAAGACTTATTCAGTTTTCCTCTCCTGAGATGTCATAATCTATCATGAACAAGACTTGAATTTCTAGTGTGTGTATAATAAACCAAAAAAACCCCACTTTCGACAACAGAAATCAAACGAACGAGTCTATTTTTTTCTATCTTGAAAAAAGTTACGTTTGTGGTTACTATTATTTTGTCTTCCAATTTATACACAATGTTCAAGATTGTTTAGGAAATAATTAATAAGATAAGTAATAAGAAATAAAATTGTAGGAAATAACATAATGTTTAATGTAATGATAGGACTACCAGATCTGAGTTGCAAAGAAGCCAAAAGACTAACTGAGGGCAAGAAAAAGATACAGAAATCTTTCTGCTCCCATCTGATAGTTTTCTAGATTTTTGCAGTTTGGTTCTGATGGCATGAATGGATTACATCTTTTTCTTTTTTTAATAAAGCACCTCAAACACTGAGTGAAGTATTAGGTAATGTTGGAATTGCAGAATAAATTAACTGGATGTGTGGCAGTAACTCAGATTGATATTCTAAGCAAATGGTGTCATCAAACCATATTGAATTCAAAATTAAAAAGAGGAACAAGCGCGCTTCACCTTTTCAAAGAGCAATAAAATAGTGAGTTTGTCATTCACTAGTCAAGAAACCTTCAGTTATTCTTGATTGATTTATACCTACAGAACATCTATTGTCACCGTTAGGCTTTTTCACTCAACATGTAATGTGTCAAAATGCCGTAGTTACCAATTTGAAAAGATTCATAATTATACAAAGACTGTGGGTACTTATTGGCGCCAGTCTGTAGAAGGAGGTCTTCTCAGTGATCTTTCCAACAAACAAGCCAGCCAAGAAACCATTCATGTGAAAAAAAGCCGATGAGAAGAAATAGAACACTATTTCTCAAACATTGTGAAAAGGACTGTTTACTCCTAAAGGCTTGCAAGTATTTTTTTTTAAGCAAACACAAAAAGATATGCGATTTCAGCTAATTTATTCAATGCTTAAAATTTTGTTTTTCATTAGTAACTTCAACAAAATATGTCCACAAAAACTGGCTCCTTAGACGCAGTCTATGACATTTACTCCCACTAAACAACTTTCAACCCTCTCCAATAAAAAGCAAAATACATTGCAGTGGATAGAAACAACAGAAAAAACGCTATTCAGTTAAACAGCCTACTTAAGCATAAGTGGCACTCAGATCTTCTGATTCCAAGTACACAAACTAACTTTTCAGCAGGGATAAGAGCCAAGTTGTAAATTCTCTTGCTTATCAAACACAAACATGGTTGTTTTAAAAACGAATGATTTGCATTTCCCCCATATGTCTCTGCTGAGTTAGCAGACTCCTCTGTCCCAAAAAAACACAAAACCATTACATGTTCTTGCTATGCAGGTGATGATGATTCAATTATATAACCATCTACTCTGGAATTAGTTTTTCTTTTCTATAAGATGAGCATCTTTAGGCAATTATTTTCATGATCCATGGGCCATTTTTACATTACCCACTTTGTGTATTCATTTAAACTTTGCCCCTTGTTTACCTCTTTAGTACATTTGTAAATTTTTAAATATATCTAACCCATATCTTCTGCTATCCAGAATGTTCAACGTAGGCCAAATGAATAGTTAAAATGGTCATATTTTTCTAACATGCTTTTTCTAATTTGAAAATATAGAAATGTGGTTGCTACTTTTAATACAGGTTGTCCTTTGCTTACAATCACAACTGAGCCCAAAATGTATATTGCTAAATGAGATTGTTAAGTGAGTTTTGCCTCATTTTATGACCTTTCATGCCACAGTTATTAAGTGAATCACTGCAGTTGTTAAGTTAGCAATATAGCTGTTAAGCAAAGTCAGTGAGGAAGCCCAATTCACTTAAGATGATTGCCTGACCCCAGGACACTATAACTGTCATAAATATTAATCAGTTGCCAGGCATCTCAATTTTGATTACATGACCATGGGGATGCTGCAATGGTCGTGAGTGTCAAAAACGGCCAAAAGTCCCTTTTTTCAGTACTGTTGTCATTTCAAACGGTCACTAAATGAACTGTTGTAAGTCTAGGACTACCCTGTACTGTCTAGATTGCCAATTGCTTTGGTTTCTCTTCAGCCTTGTAGTCCCAGAAGGAACTGCATGGACAAGAGAGAGACATACCTAGTCCCCTCCATTGGCAAAAAAAAAAAATACCAGAAGAAGAAGAGATACAAGGAAGAATGGAAGCCAAAGTGTAGACTAGGAACCAAAAAGGGGGGATGAGCCAAATCCACCATTACAGTTTCAGCTTTTCTTTGTTTAATTACTGCAAAAAGGACCATGAAAATACTTTTTAAGGGCTAATATGGCTAATCTATTATAAATGATCCACTGCTTACTGAGATTGCAATCTTACTGCAAATCATCTCAGGTTCAGTCAGTCACTGCTACTCAAACAGAAGCTGTCCTTGCAATCTCAGATACTAGAAGACACTTATCAGCCAATGCAGGCCATCTTTTTCCTGCCCCTCAGGGTAGTCTGTTGTGTGAGACTAAAGCAAGCAGGGGCTGGGTCCAGAGCCAAAATTAGCTGTAGATGCTCTTTTTCTCCGATACCCCTTTTTTCTCTTTCTGAAACTATATTCTCTCCATTCCACGCTGCAGGCTGCAGAAAAGGTCACCACTCTTAACAGAGGCCTGAATCAATTTTCTGTATTTGGCTTTAAGATTAGTTCAAAGGCTGCATGAAAATTAGTTTTGTGGCCTCAGGTTAGCTAACAGTAATTTAGTGAGTGGATCAGTTGCTGGACTTAGCAAACAATACCTTTGTTTGCTAAACAGAGACAAAATGAGTAGTCAACAGTATGATACAAAAGATTAATTACACTATTTTTAGACCTCCAGAAGGTAGTGCCTGCAGGGACCCCAGGTAAGAAAAACCACCAAGGAGCAGTCCTACATCTATAAGCTGTAGTAGAGAACAGAAACTGAACATTCGTTCACATTTCTTCCAACTTTCTTCACTTCTCTGGAAAAGGAAAGTGTTAGTACTATTGAAACAACATGCCATTTGCTCAACTTAATATTTGCCATTCTCTGGTCATAACCATGGCCACAACTACTCCACAGATCATTCTATATTTTTCATAATCTTATGTATCTTTTATTATGTGGGCCTTTCAAGAACAGGACACATGATTGGAACCATCAAATGTAGATCATTAGCAATGCAAACAAGTAAATAATTAAAAATGGAACTTCTCAAGTCAAGACTGATTTCTAGTGATTGAATACATAGGGTTTTTTTAAAAAACAGAATTATGGAAGTGTTTGCCAATAATTTCTTCCAGGATTTCCCCCTCATCTCTCAGTCTAGCCTATAGTCCCTTCCTTTGAAGGGTGGGATATTATAAAACTACACTTAGAGAACAAACCTGTTATTTAATTTTGTCTCATTTTTTTAATAACACAGCACATTGCTAAAATAGATTGCTTACTACCCTTTTGCTTTATTTTTTTTAAGGGGAGATACTTGAGTATCTTCCAGGTATTAGTAAAAACACTTCCCAACTAATTCTTTTAAATGCAACATTTAGCCACATAAATCAGATGAGAGAACACATGAGCATGACAGCTGGTATTACAGCAATATCTTTCAGGTGGTTTTTACAACAGAAAAAAATTCCCCACTGAAAGGAACACAGTTTAGTTATCTGATTACCAAGAGGATCAATAACTGCTCTTTAATTGCAAGTTTTTTTAAAAACAACAGCAACCAGGTGTTTCCTAAGGAATGGGAACTATATCAAACTATATCAAACTATATCAAACACATTAATATTACTGGAAACAAGAAATCATTCCAAAATTCTGTTTGGTAGCATAACTATGCACCAAAGAACGTAATACCAGCTAAATAAGAAACTATACATTTATTCAAGGAATACAGTGGAGTTCTAATTTAAAAGAAAAACTTCCTTCCATGGGGCTTTTTTTTATCTGGCAGGGAGAATATGGTGGAAATGAAAGGAATGTTAAGGGTCAACAGCAAAGGATACAGACCTAAATATACCTCTTGCTTTTGTAGTAAGAAATCAGCACTACCTCAGTTCTACTTCTAAGGATGGCCAGGAGAATGCAATCTGTTATTCGGCACTTATTCTCTATTGGGATCGTCAGTTATTTGACTAGTTCAAACAGATTAGTTTACAAGCAGGAATCGCTGAAGCCAGGACTTGGGGTAGGAAGGAGAACGTGAGCAACCACCATTCCGCCCCTCCCTCCTTTCCGAACAAGAGCCCTCAAAATTACGAACCTATCAGGATTACAGATCTAGTTCAGAGGACCTCGCAGGGCGCGACTTCAACGGCGTCGACACGGAAAACGAGCGTTAACTCTCTCTCACCTGCTAGGCTTCCGGGTCTCTGCAAAGTGGCCGTGGCATAGAGTTCCTGGGAGTGTTTGCCGTACTGCTCGGAAGGGTGGACCAACCTCTTGGTGGGCGAGAGGGTCGCGTAGGTGCCGATCGTGGAGCTCAGCTGATGAATGGGAGAGGAGATGTTGGACTGGATGGTGGGAGGGGAGGTGACCCGGATCGGGGAAGGCGAGAGCCCCGCCGAGGAGACGACGATGTTGATGGGCGAGCTGGTGCTGTAGGACTTGGCGAGGCGGCTGGGCGACTGCTTGGGAGAGGAAACCCGCTGTGTGGTGCCGTAGCCGCCGCCGCCGCTCTCGGAGGCGGAGCCCGCCCGCTGGAGCTTGGTAGGCGAGCCCACCTGCTGCATGGACAAGGGCGAGCTCACTCTCTGCGCCGGCAGCGTGGAGCTGGAGTAGTAGAGGGCCGGCGAATGGGGCTGCTGCGAGGCGGAGGAGGAGGAGGAGTCCGGCAAGTGGAAAGCGCTCCCATGGCTGGGCGCGAAGGTCTCCCGGGGCAGCGGCTGCGACGGGGGTGGCGGCAACTCCGAAGTGGCGAGGTGGGCAGTCCGGCCAGTGGTGCCCTGCGGAGGAGGGGGATGGGCGGGGAGAGCGAGTAAGTAAACAGGCAGACAAGAGGCGGTCCACGGAGGAGGCAATTGGCCAGCCCACTCCCCCTGCCCCCCCCCTTCTAGAGATCCGGGAAAGGGATTAGACGCGCCCCACGGCACATTTTTGAGTCTTTACCGCGGTTGGACCCACCGGCTTTGAAAATAAGCACCTAATACTGCGCAAATGCCCTTGCTGTAGGGTGAGGTGAGGCTCATTGCTCTCTCCTTAAAGCGGGTCTCGAGCATCTTGCATATATATTCTGGTTTGATGTTAAATAAAACTCGGTGAAAACCCCATCTTCGTCCTGTTTACTCGAAGGCCGTTCTACTGTATTTGTCGCTTTATGGTGACTATGCTTACACCCTTAGCATCCCGTAATCGAAAGAAGGTCGTCTAATGTTTAAAAGGTTCAGCGGTCAAGTTTTTTTCTCTCTATCCCGAGGGACGCTTGGAGAAATGGGCAAGAAAACGACTTTCACGGCAAAGTTTATACTCTGAGTAATAATTGTATTTGTGCAAAAACACCATTAAGTGGCACAAAATGTAGTGTGCACCTAAAGTAATTTTCTTCCTCAAGGGGGCCTTGAGAATAGTCTACTGGGATATTCAAAGTATAATAGCCCTCGTTGTAAATCTCACTTCTTAGGGTACTTTGGGGAGGGCCTTAGCTGATACACTGGCATTAAAATATTATAAGAAGTTTACTGCAGGTTGTGCAGCATCTGCCGTATATATATTGCCTACAGAAAGAATTACCAGTAATCCTCCAGTTCTGTTGTATGCATATAATGTCATTTTTACAGTTTTTCATGCATGTGTTAAGAAACAGAATGTCTGAAATGATCTAGCCTGGGGTTTGTCACTAACTGCAATAGAAATATTTATTATCCTCATTTACAGGAGTATAATAAACTCAGTTTTGTAAAGCGATAACATAAGGTAGTAAAAGAAATTATTTGTACCCTCAAACAACTGAAGCTTTTTTCTTTGACTTACCAATTAAAAAAGCAAAGCAAATACTGATTTAAATGTCCCTTTTGAAAAAAAATCAATAATTATTTCTATAATAGCATTTTCCCCAGCACGTAAGACAAGCAATAGGATGATTGGCACCTTGTTCTACTTCGAATTCTTGGATAGAATTAATTCTAGAGTATTAATCGGTGCATCACTAATTAACGTCAGTGTTTCTTGTGATATACCTAGGTAGAACCTCACCTTGAATATTATTCCCTACATTCTTGTTGGTGAAAACAGTTGCTGAAGTGCAAACCTTTGCATAGCAGAAACAAGATGGAGAATCTGACTTCTTAAGAATTTCTCCCTTAGCCTAGCATTAGAAAGAGCTGGCTAGCTCGCAGGTCAAAACTTATTTTATCTAATTGTTTAAGTGCCATTAGAAAAAAAAATCACCCAAGATTTTCCCTACTGGTTTTCAATTTGATAAATATGCTTTTCAAATTTCTTTTCGAAATGCGGATTTCTGTCAAATCTTATGGAGTACAGTGACTTTGCACAGTTGAGAGGTATATGTGATTATCATCTCTTTCTAAGTACAATATTTACCCTTTCTCTCCATGCTCCAAATCCCAAAAGGCTATTTCAGATAGAAAATGATGGTAACAAGAGAGGCTTAAAAGTGAGAGAAAGATGTTTGTAACAGGAAACAACAATACTTGCTGTGGTGGCAATTTCTTACCACTTCAGTTAGGTAATTCAAAATCTTACCAGGAGAATTTTTTTAAAAGCTGTTATGGACCCCAAGAATAAGATTTTGTTTTGTTTGTTGTTATTGCTAATTTTAAATTGCTGTTCACTATCCAGAACTGTATATCAAGTGGACAGCCTTAGAATCAATAGATAGAGAAATCTCTTCTAGGAAGAAAACTGAGGAATTTCAAGTGAGTAAATTGTTTTCTTTCTTTTTAAAGGAGGGTGGGGATTGTGAAATGTATCCACAGAAATATTATATACTGCTATATCAGTATATCAGCTTATATCATACAATATATATGGATGACCTTGTTTACAGGAGATAAGATTAACAAGGGTTAAAGCATTTGTCTTCTACCTGATATTCTCCAGATGTGTTGTTAGTTCCATTCTCAGCCAATAATTATTGGCTGGAGATTTGGGGAATGAAAATCATATAATACAACTGGATGAGACCAGATTTAAAAAATGAGTTAAACAAATTCATCTAGGATAAGTGTAGTAAGATTGGCTCACCCTTGAGTTCAGAAAAGGGTGTGTTTGAACACTAATTGGAGCAAGCAACATGTATCATATAAATTACCGTTATCTGGATGGATGGCATTAGTAACAGGATGCTAGACTACAAATATTTTTTTTCTGATTCTTGGTAATGTTTTGTCATTTTCATTGCTGTTACCCAAATATATGACTTTAGTTTGATTTCTAAGATTGAGCAGAATCACTGAGATTGCACTCATACATTTTAAAAATAAAATAAAAAAACAACTGTGAAACCACTCTGAGAAAGCTAAGAATACAAGGCAGCGGGAACTGGTGTGGGCATCCTCTTTGACATTTGCAAGGGACATAATTATTTTTATAAAGTAGTACAGGGGTGTCAAACTCAATTTCATTGAGGGCCGCATCAGCATTGCAGTTGTCCACGGGCCGGGTAGATATGGCCAGGGTGGGTGTGGCCTACTGGGTGGGGCGTGGCTGGAGTGGGTGTGGCTTACTGGGTGGGCATGGCCAGCTCTACATCGTTCGCATCAAGGGTGCCTGTGGGGGGCTGGGCAGGAGTGGGACAGATCTGAGGGTCTCTGGCAGAAGGGGGTGGGACCAGGGCAAGCACCAAGGCATGGTTTACTGGAAGAGCCTCACTGTTCCTCTCAGGCCATGCGAGGGGGGGCTGGATGGTGCCGCGGGCTTTCCGGAGCCCTGGACAGCAGAGGTCAAATGCCCAGCCTGGCCCTTGAGCACCCGCGGCACCAAGCCCAGCCCCACTTCCCCAAGGGGGCGCACAGCTGCACTTACCTCCTCCTCAAGGCTGCTGCTGCTGTGCTTGCTCTCCTTAGCCAGGTTACTCATGATGGGTATGAGGGCAAAGTCAGAGGGCGGCTGTCCTGGCTCCTCCTCATGGGAGGAGACCTGGCTTTGTATCCAAAGCTTCCTTAGCAATAGGATGGGAGACCCCCCCAGGATAGGCCAGGAGGAGGGGGCAAGGAGATGGTGAAAGGGCAGCAGGGCAGGACTAAGGCAGGACTTCCCTCAGACTCTCCCTCTCCTTCCTTCCTTCCTTCCTTCCTTCCTTCCTTCCTTCCTTCCTTCCTTCCTTCCAAGAACTAAGTGGTGGGAAAATATTTGAGTTGATGAAGAGAGAAAAATAGGCAAGAAACGCAGCTGGGGAGGTGTTACCCTTCGTGAGGAATGAAGAAATGCACCATCGCCTACTTCACATATCTGGCTTGGTGGGCTTTGGGGGAGGGGACGCCATGAGCAACGTGAGAGTCGACGTTACCTGCGCAATGCCGTCCAGCCCCCAGCCTGCCTGGTTTTGACAGGCAGCGGGACGCTCTCCTCACATGCTGAGAGGCTGAGCTGGGCAGTGCGAAGCTCGCCAGCTTTGCACCTTGCTGCCTGCTGAAATTGGGTAGGCTGGGGGCTGAGCGGCGGCGCGCTTCTTTTTGAATTTGCGCCGCCTGGTTCAGCCTCTCAGCGCTGTGAGGAGAGTGCCCCGCTGCCTGCTGAAACCCCTCTCCCGGAGCCCATCAAGCCGGATGTGTGAAGTAGACGAGGCCATTTGCTGACCACTTCCAGGCGATGGTGCATTTCTTCATTCCTCACAAAGGGTGACACCTCCCCAGCACATGCCCAGGGGGCAGGGCTGACGTGGCAGGGGCCGGTCCCTTGCTGTTTCCAGATGGCCTTGTGGAACTAAGACTGAATGTGTTTCAGCATAGATGGCCACCACAAAATTGTACATTGGCTCTCGAGTGGCCTGGGCCGGGGCCAAGACAGTAGGGGCTGTTCCCTCACTGTTTCCAGGATGGCTTCGCAGGCTACATGAAACCACATCGTGGGCCGCATCCGGCCCCCGGGCCTTGTGTTTGACATGTCTGAAGTAGTAGCTGGGTTCAAGTCCAATTCCTGAAAATGTAGAGGGATTTTGTTTCAACTTGAAATAAGTGTTACAGTGAAAACTGAAGTGAATGAAGGAGAAGAAAATTTAAAAAAAACCATTGGCTTTGCACACAACCGTCTAGTTCAGGGGTCTTCAACCCCCGGTTCATGGACCGGTACAGGGCCGCGGCATGCCCGCAACCGGTCCATACAAACAAGCAAAGTCCCATCTGTGGGATGCAGGCAGCACACAAAACCATGCACTTTCCAGTCCTCAGAAAAACCTTTCTGCACAGAACTGGTCCCTGGTGCCCAAAAGGTTGGGGACCTCTGATCTAGTTCTTCATCTCTGTGGAATGCATTCTCTTGTGTTTTTTGTTTCACACAAATATATCAATATGGGTATGTGTCTGTGTCTGTGCATGCATGTGTGCATACAGACATCTTTTGTATACAAGAATACTAGGCAACTATCCCTTCCAAACTGAAAAACAGTTATTTTTTATTTACCAGGACTATAAGAAAGTGGGTGTTGAGATGTAGCTGTGGAAAATTATGAAATCAATTTTGGATCCAATTCAAATAAAAAATTTCAGTTTGAATAAAAACAATATTTTGTGAGACATATCTGCATGAGATTACAGGACTTTAGTAGTTATATATGGAATTTTCCTTAAATCTTGTAAAAGAGAAAAGAAGAAGGAAAATAAAGTTCTCAGCAGTTGCTTCCTGTTATAAATTTCAATTATGTGCCTAATGTCCTTCTGAAACACTAAAGAATAAAATCTCTTATCTCTCAATGTAGACTGCATTTTAGTTTCTATCAGACATCTTAGGCTGAAGAGATCAACCAGAGCTGTTAATCTTGTAACATTAA